AACCCCGTAACAATATGCGTTTTGTACTGCTGTTACACAGCACAAAACGCATAAAAAAAAATCAGAGTAAAGTTTTCTTCTAAAGATGCTCACATCATAGGCACCCGCTTTTATTTGCGCATACAAACGATGCTGGTCCTCATCCCAGAATGGCGGATAACCAACAAGAAGGATATAGAGAATAACTCCTGAAAAAAAAAACTGAACACATTCTACCATAAAAATAACAAGCACCTTGAAAAAAGATGAAATTCAAAACAGGCTTCAGATGGGGAATTGAAAATCATTGTTCTTTCATAGCCTGTTTCATAACAATTTTGCCAGCAGGAAAAAAAGTAACTCACTTATCCTGTTTAAAATGCGATCAGAACAGGGCTCTCACGATGTAGGATACAACAGCAACTGTGTTCCACGAAAACAAATAGAAAATTCGAAAAGAGGTCTCCCAAGCTACGGATTTTGAACGACAGACGCTTTTTTTCTACGTGGAAGAAGGAGGGAGGTTATAGCAGAAAGTGGTGCTGACAGCATGTTGCACTGTAATAAAACGATGGCTTACCACAGGCCCATATGTCAACAGGTTTCCCGTAGGGATCCTTTTTGAGGACTTCAGGAGATAAATATCCAGGCGTGCCTGCAAAGCCGAACCATGCTTCCGTATCGCCTTGCACCTCGATGGCAAGCCCAAAATCAGCCAGTTTTACCGCGGCTCCTTTCGCTTTGCTCGCTAGTAAGAGATTTTCTGGCTAAAAAATATTACACTGTCATCAAAGCTTTAATTCTAACTTGAAAAGTAAGTGTTCTGATCTTACTTTACACGGATCCCGTCACTTTACAACCTGTCAAAATGGTCGTTTCTTTGTGACTGTTGTTCTCTAGTACTGTGGTTTCGGTCAGCAATAGTGACAGGTTTTTTTGAACAAAACCACCGGAAATGGTGTATTACTTGATACTGCCATTGAAAACGTAAATATGTAGCCTCCCCATAAAAAGAGCTTTTTCTCTTCTCATTTCCCTCTTCTTTCTCACATTCTTATTTTATGCTTATGCCAATACAATAAAAATTTTTGCAATGTCTGCAAAAAAAAAAATCAGAAAAATCAGGTCTTTCAAAAAATGGTCACTTTTCAATGAAATCTACCAAGTGCTGAGCAAATTGCTTGTTAGTTAATCAAAAGCATCTACTAGTATGTACAAATGTAAGCAATGTAACACACATCAAAGTATCGCCTTTCAAAGTTTACCTTGAGATCCCTATGCACCACATTGTTCAAGTGACAGTACGCAATTGATTCCAGAATTTGTTGGATACAGTGGCTAAAAAAAGACGATGTAAAGTTTTAAACAAAAAAAAGATTAAAAGAAAGTAGTAAGAGAGTGAAAACCCAGGCAAAAACGCATCAGCATTGCAGGTGCGATCATATGTTTTTGCACCAGACTTGAAGTA